CTTGTTTGTCTGAGATTTGGGGAATATTATTATACAGTGAAAATACAGTATTGCGCTTACCTTGGTCTCTGTACGATGAGATGAAGGCCAAAAGATCAAAATGAAACGGATAGAAAGAAAGAGGGAGAGAGAGAGAGAAAGAGAGAGAGAGAGAGAAAGAGAGACAGGGAGAGACAGAGAGAGACAAATACAGATATACAGAGAGAGAGAGGGGGAGAGAGAGTACGAAAAAAGAAAGGGAGGTGAGGCAAGGGAGAGAGAAGTAAGTTAAAGATGAAAGATAGGTAGATAAAGGGAGATAGATAGATATTATGTAGAGAGAGAGATATATATATATATATATATATATATATAGAGAGAGAGAGAGAGAGAGAGAGAGGGAGAGAGGAAAGAGGAAAGAAAAATAATTAGTTTAACACATTGATGAAAAATCGAACAATCTTTTTTGTTCTTCAATGAGTTCTAGGTATATTATTACTGCACACGAACTGAATTACCATTTTTTAATCAACGTAGCGAAATGGCGTTTTACCCTAAAAAGGTGTCATAAATGTATTATCTTAAAAACAACACATTTGAAAGTTTAGTAATGTTTTTGTTACAATGATAAAGTGGGACAAAAAACGCATTAAAATAATTAACGACCAAAAAAAAACTACACCAACAAAACATTAATATCAAATTTTTTTTCAAACCTTTCAAAATTGAATGAAAATCGGCCAATCGATGTTTCAAAAAAAAAGTATTTAATAATAAAAAATATATAAAAAACAGAGACGTTCTCCAACTCTCTCCCTGGTGCTGGTATTTTTAAAAACTTTTATTTATGTTATGTTTCTATTCTGCTTTATGTCGCTTATATGTTAATATTGCAGTGTAAGGACCACAAGTAACAACAGTAATGTTCTATAAACATTGCTGAATTGGGCTTTCCACCGATTTTTGTCTATGTACATGTATCAATATTTCATTTTGTATATTTTACTATGTATAATATTTTGTATCTGATTTCGGAAATAAAAACAACAACAACAACAAGCTGTCGAGACTAACAACTCACCTCGGGGCCGATGACATCCGGCCTGCCTCTCCCACTGCCTCGTCCTCCCTGGCTTATCTCCCACGATGGACCCGCTCCAGACACGCATCCCCAGGCCATGGAGATGGTGCACACCATGTACACAGACGTGAGAAGAAGAACTTTCAACATCGTTGACGGCTCGATATCTTAATTGGAAATCTGAAATAAAGAAGAAAATAGTGAGTAGGCTATATGTGTATATAGGCCTATACATATATATAAATGCATGGTAAGATACAATATACTGCACCAAAATGGGAGATACAATACTTTGTTAACGATTGATTGTAAATCGCTGTTTTACAGGTCCATGATGCAATCAATAGCCCTCGATCAACGGAGTATTCGTAGGCCTAGCTACACACATAAAACAACACATACGTGTACAATTATTATTATTAAATTTTATTATTATTATAAAACGAAATACTAATATGTGAACATAAGCTGATAATAAAGCAAACTATTGGTGATGGTATCAGGAGATCTATCTTTCCAATTATTAATTCAAATTTTACCTAATTACTGTAAGTCTAGTATAATTTATGTCAACGTGAAATATGGAAGAAAAAATGTGAAAACTATATGGTACGAAGCGTTGTAAAACTCATCTTGAAAATAAAACGAAATACCGTAGACCTATCCGTCGTTGCAGCTGAAGTTAAAGCTAGGTTAGTATGATATGTGCCATCATTGTGTGTTTCATAAAAGAGAACTGCACACGCAGGATAAGAACATTAATTATCCTTAATGTGTAAAATAATATGATTAGAACCGTACGGAGGCCAACAAGCTGTATAGAGAATGAAAAAGAACTTACTTTAGTAGCTGTGGCTAACCAGCAAATTTTCGAGACCTTCCCAAGAGTATAGTGTGACAAGCCTGAAGTATATTGAAGTCCCCTCGAATGATCAGTGAGAGATAATTTAACAAGCGACCTGCATTTACGTATAGGCCTATATAGTTGTGATTTACAGCGAACTGCTTCTGCATTATATAGCCACCGGTCGACTATTAAAGCGAAACCAACCACCAAGGAAGGTTTTTCCCGGAAATGTTTTGACCTTGGTGTCAGACAATTTTTAAAAGCCTCTCTAAAGTTTTAGGAGCCCAACAAATTTGATGAAAAACCTTTACTTCAATTTTATAATGAAGTGAAAGAGGATGTCATTGATGAAAGAATACAAAACTCAGTTTTACTGCGTATAACACAGAACCCAAGTTTTGTATTTTTCCATCAGTATCCGTCTTCAAACGCATTCATTTTTTTTTAAGTGTCCTCTTTCACATCATAATACACTAGTGAAATCGTTACCATCAATTTTGTTAGCAAATTTGGGGCTCTCAACACTTTAGAGGGGCTTTAAGTGGGGAAGGGGAAGGGTGAGGACCTCAGCTAGATATGGCATGGCAACATCGATCACGAAAATGAAGTGAGGGGACTCTGTCGATCAGTATAAGCTGCTCTCGTCGTTTTATGTATTGCCCTCCCCCTCCCCCTCCTCTCTCTTTCTCTCTCTATCTCTCTATCTCTCTCTCTCCTTCTCTCTCCCCCACTCTCTCTCTCTCTCTCTCTCTCTCTCTCTCCCTACTCTCCCTATGCTTTTATGTATTTCCCTTGTTTTTCCCGCCTCACTCCCCATCGCATCCCCATATGATGTTTATGTGCAGCTGTAACAAAAACATCATAAAACGGTAAAATATAGCTCAAACGTCCCCTGGAATCGAGACATGTTATTCGACTTCGACTTTATATACGTCACTTTATGTCAATTTTTAGCAATTTACAATTTTGGTGTTGCTGTGGACTTTTTTCTCGGCTAAGGCTACAATGGCTGTGGTCAAAACTACTATAAGCCTATATTTGTTTTTTGGGTGGCAAAATGGAGTCATATCTTAAATTTAAATTCAAATAAAACGAATAGGTACGACAGGACAACAACAAAAAGTCGAATAAATATACATTTTGTTCAAGCAATGAGCTACGAAATAGCAAACGGTGGCTGAGGGGGGGGGGAATATCTGCTATTATTCAGTCAGGAAGTTTTCGGGAACTTTCCCCGATCAAATAGGGTGCTCTGTGGGCTTATCCTTTTCTATGAACTGCAACCAAACAAAATCCCGTATCAGCTACATTGACAAGGGTTGATTTCTGATGTCATGGCTAATAAAAACGGGTTAGTTAATTGACGTGGACCAGGAAACAGGAAATATTACTACGAGGTACAAACTTCGGTGGTAAAATTAAAGGTGCTATTCAGCTTCTATTTTTTTCCTTTTTTAATGAAGAGTATAAATTGTTTATTTTTGCATTATCTGTCCTTAATTGCTTGGAAAGATTGTACTTGGGGAACAATTCCATAAGGAGAGACAAATTCCATTAAAAGGAATATTAGGTCCTTGATGTTATGATCGGCGTCGTAATCATATCATCATCGTCGTTTTAATGACTTTTGTTTAATTTCTCGAATTGATTACCATTAAAAACAAAAAAGTCACCATGTTATGCCCCTAAATTAAAGACAATATACTGAGAGAGAGAGAGAGAGAGAGAGAGAGAGAGTGAAAGAGATAGAGGACAGAGAGAGAGAGAGAGAAAGAAAAGATAGAAAGGGGAAAGAGGGGGAAGTTTATTCACCTAAAGAGAACGCCTCCACACACACACACACACACGCACACACACACACACACACACACATATATGAATTTTTGTTTTTAGTATTATTTATTGAGCTTCCATTCAACAAATTCATGGAAAACAAAATGACTTTTTATAGATAATACAAGAAAATGCTCATACGTTTCGAATAATATGACAAATAATGACAGAATGGAATCAATGTAACATAAAATACCTAAAACCCCCTCTCCCATTAACCCCCCCCCCAAAAAAAGCCCCTCATCTCCCCCCCCCCCCCCCAAACAAAAACAAAACAAAAACAAAATCTTTGTATGGTTATGTTTTGTTTTTAATACAATTTATTTAAATCTCATAAAACAATTCCATACAAGAACAAAACAAATATATTCCATTGTATATGGAATATACCAGGGTCGGCGATCCCGGGGGGGGGGGGGTCGGGGGGACACGTCCCCCCCTCAATTTTTTTAGGGGGGATCGTCCCCCCCTCAAAATTTGAAAAAGTGCACAAAAAAATATATAACAAATACTGACTAAAGTGTGCAACTAAGGTATCAAAATATGCTCATCTGACTATAATTAAATGCCTAAAACCCCTGAAATTCTGAGGGCTCCGCCCCATGGATGCTCATCTGACCTTAAAGTAATGCCTAAAATCCCTGAGTTTCATGGCGCTCCGACCCTTGATTTGGTTTGCCTTGTCTTGCCTTTGCTTTTGTTATTTAGCTCTGTATAGATTATCAAGATAATAACTGACTAATATATAAGTAAGTCTACTAAATAATCAATCGATAACAAGGTGATTTCAATTTAATCATTACTTGATTCTCCAGTTTTATTAATATGTACAAACATTGAATATATACAAAACAGAGAAATAATACAGAGACAATGTATCATGAAAAACCTATTGAAGCTCGGCAAGTTGATGCATTTACAAAATCGGCACACCTATCATAAAATGACGTAGGCCTACACAACACAAATATTATCTATCTGAAGGATTAGAGATATCATAAAAATGTTACTGTTGGGGAAGGCAACTCGATCTATAAAACTACTGATGAACAGGTTACACATATCTTTTGATTTACCTCTCGAAGGAAATAGGAAGTTAGTTTTCTCATACTGAACTACGATATTCTTCCCACATTTCAAACATGGCGGATTGATTGGTTTTGAAGATATAACATGAAGTAAAGAAAATGAAAATCATTAGTTGTCTTCTAAATTTACTAACTCAAAAGTGTTTTTTCCATGCAGTTCTTTACTTTAAAAAAAATGTTGAGGTCTGATACATTGCCTTAATTTTGACTGTTATTCTGACACGCCTTTACATATAAATTATGTGCGATTCATCAGCCGTGCGTTCTTACGAATATCAGAGGCTCAATGGTCGAGCATTGGTCTCGTAATAGATAGGTTCCCGGTTCAATACCAAGTCGATGCTTTAGTGCATTTTGGTAAGGCATTGATGAATAACATTATTACAAAATACATGGTAAAGGCTAAATCGCAGGTACCCTAGTTGGGTCTAACCAGCATTATAATCAGGGATGTATGTAATTTTTTTTTTTTAATTCATTAATTTGGAGCGTAGGCCTAACCTTAGCATCCTTACAAACAAGGACTAATTCAAATAATTTAATTGGAATAATAGGTTCAAAAGTCTACCGCCATTAGAAGATACACTGTTGGTCATAATGGTGGAATAATTATTTTTACCACACACATGCTTTAGCAGTCACGCAAAACAAAGACTCGCAAATTATTATTCCATAAAATCTGAGAATGAATACTGCTATCTAGATCTATTAGAAATAAATCATTGTCAAATCATTCCATAAATTTGGGTAAAAATAATCATTACACTTTTTTGATTGACCGCGTTCAGGATTAGCTTGTACGTGTGTACGCAATGCATTTAATATTCAGTTGAAAACGTCTCTGGACAATGGGCATGTGTGGGTTTATCTTCTTCGATTTCTTACACTTTAGTGGCGTTCCAGCTTGAAACATCGGCGCTCATGAAGTCCTCCACGGTGATTAAAATGCCGATGGTGTTGTTCATGGAATCTGGAACTTATTTTCTTGGTTGGATTCGGCCGCGAGGGCCACGCGGTCTTCTTGGATCGTACGGGAGAAGTACGTTCTCCTGTAGGCGAGGCAAAGGCTCTGGTAGGCGAGGCAAGGGCTCCGGTAGGCGAGGCAAACGCTCTGGTAGGTCCAAGTTCTCAATGGTTCTTTTCGTTGGTGCAGTCGGTACACTAAAAGGTTGTAGCTCAGCAAGTGAGATAAGTTTATCGCCTGTATGATTTGAACAAAAAAGTCAGTTATAGAAATTGCACATCTTTTCCATCAAGACCCACTCTCTCTAAATGAAGTTGTTCGAGAAAGTTGGTTTCCATTTATGGCAAAATATTTTAGTCCTACCAGAAACATTTGTTTGGAAAGATGTATTTCAGTTCAAATTTCATAAGATAAGAGACAATAATACCAAACAATATAATTTCAAATTAATTCATAGGATATTGCCCTCTTTCATTGAAAATCGTACGGTTTAACGAATGTGAAATTTTTCGTTAAAAAGAAACTATTGAGCATTTCATATTTCGTTGCAAGAAATTAAGAGTTTTCTGAAAAATTATGTCAAGAATTATATATTTCATCTTTAAAATAGAAATTGAAATTGAATTGAAAATGTTATTGATTGAATATAAAATAAATAACAGAAAATTTATTTTACTTAACTTTTTGATAAATTATGCTCAACTAATAGGCCTATAACAGTGATTACGTTAAAGGTAATACAAAGTTTTGGTATGGGGTCATGAATTTGTTTCAAATGAACATAACAGAAGCATATGCGATCCGAAAATATTCAATGATCGTTGTCGCGGTTGAAATCGAGTCTAAAGTTATGAAATTGTCAATAATAAACTCGTTATGTTGTAAAGCTCCCTCTAAAGGTCAAGATATTAATTAAGCTATAAAACAATGTTTCTTGACTGAAATCAACCGATTAGCTATTCCCGTTTGGAAATTATATATCACAACTACATATTCCGAGTTTTTCATGGTCGCAGCTACCATTGTACGGCCGTAGGCGCTATTTGAAATTTATTAATATTTACCTGGAGCACCGGTAAATTTTTATATTCCATTTTTCTCGAAAGCAGAAGTGTTTTAGGGGCTAAATTTTTGTGTGCTTATAATACATCCACAGGGGCATCCAAATATTTCGAAATTGTCAAGAATCACTATCCACCCAATTTTTAAAATTTTCCAAAACTTTGTATTACCTTTAAGTGGAACTTTGGGGAAGTACCAACCTATCCAAAGAGGTTAATAAATAATTTGATTTCATCATTGAAATGTTATATGAAATACAAAGAAAATATAAAATACTTCGATAATGAAGAAGTTAAGAAAGTATTAGAAATTTTATAATGATTATTTTAAGAAATTATGTTGATCTTGTATTATAATTCATATGTTTCATTATACTTGTTTTGTAAATAGTCTATATGTATTTTGAAATGGAATAATAAAGTCCCTCTGAAGAGGTAAAGAGAAGAAAAAAAATCATCACCATATTCTAATCATCGACATCACCGTCCGCATTGTCGTCATCATCATAATAATCAACAACAACAAAAATAATGATAATCACAATAACCATTAAAACAGAATCATGGGCATCTATATGTAGTCATGTTCATAGTCATTCATCATCATCGACAACATCGTCCGCAATGTCATCATCATAATCATTCTCAATGATATTATAATTATTTACACATTGTGGTCATCGTCATGATCATCGATCATCACCATCCTCCTTCTCATCATCATCATCATCATCATCATGACCATCTCTTACCATTAGCGTCAAGGCGAATGAGCATGTAATTGAATTCTGTCACGGCGCCGCCTCCCAATTTCCACTCTTGTATGCAAACCAGACCATTACCATCGAGATCAATGCTTGCGAAAGCTGATTCCTTGCTGACCAGTCCAGCGAAGTATTTCGCCACCTCGACGGGTATGCTATACAGTTCAAATGGGAAGAGAGTAAAGGGATAGAAATTGTATCAACACGTATAATACAATTTGGCGATATTAATCCAATAATACTTTTGCCCTGCACATAGTATTAAAACATGTAATTAAGTTTTGAACGATGTTTTGCAGTTAAAAGCCTCAAACTGCCTGATACCTGATATTCAAGAAAGACCTAAGGGAACCTCATTCGAGACTAGATGCACTATATATGGTAACCATAAGTTTTACAAGAATGTATCTTCATGTGATTCAAGGTAATTAGAAACAATCTCGGCAACATCATACAGTGTAAGGTTTGGGTTTTTCCTTAACCGGGCACGGCGGATTCAGCAAAAGTAGCATTGCAACATGAGACGGCATGAAAAAACAAGAAAGGCATTTAATAGAGTATTGGGAAGACTACACTAGGAAAATATAAATCATGATATTTCGTGTGGCCTCACCCTATTTAGTGTGCCCCGTTGTTACAGTCGAGTGGTACAATTGCAATATTTTAAATTTAACGCTTAATTGTTAACACACAATAAACACTACACGTATCATTTATAATCTTGGAAAATATCTCAAATAATATAAAGAATTCATCTCGAAGAACTTTGTCAACAGTCAGGCAATTTAAAAGTTACAATGAATAAAATATTACAATTTACAAGTTTGTGACATAATGATAATTATTGATAAGTTAATTAGAATTAGTCAATGTGGCGAAAATGAATAATATATTTTATTTTATTAATGCTTTAGGGGAAAGATTTTATCATCATGTAAACTCGATGGCTTCTCTTCTTTGAAATTCACAGTACATTGCTTTTTGTATGTTTGAATGCTCTATGCACATTGAAATATTATCATAATTAATACTAGAAATAAATATGATTGTTCTTACCTTGGGAGGCTTGGTCCCTGTGAGGCGAGCAGAAGGGTCAAAGGAGGGTGAGGGGAAAAAAGATAACAGGTAGGCACAAGAGGACAGAAAGAGAGAGAGAGAAAGAGAGAGAGAGAGAGAGAGAGATGGGGGAGAGGTGAGAGGGGGTGAGGGAGAGAGAAAGAAAGCGGCTGTTATTTTAGCAATAAAAAGTGCGAATAATAACGTAAACGAAAATATTGAATAACATTTCTAATGAAACTTTAGTTTTAACGAACCTGAGACATATTATGGTTTTAAAAGATATGAATAAAAAAGCAAGCTGCAAGCATCAGCTTTTAAAATCATGACAGTATAATGATATAGTGCAGCTGTAATAATTAAAAGGAGGCGGGCGGTAAAAGCCCTTCGGGTGACAGATTTCAGAGTAAGTAACTAAACAAGATGTGCTGAGTGGAGGAGAAAGGGGCGTTAAAAAACTAAAATTATTTGTACTGATAAAATTAACAACACTCCGTTTCACACATGTGACTCTTCTTTGCTGGACCTGACAAGGAGAAGATTTTTGTGTGTGTATGGGCGGTGTGCTTTGATAGTGGTGCACCCCTTGTTTATCCTCGTAGTACCAACCACTTGGATGCAAGCCGACTAAAAACTCACCACGGGGCGTTCTGGTTCTTCTGGCCCGACAACACCTGGTCTAGGTCTAGGTCCAGGTCTACCTCCTGGTCCAGGTCTACGTCCACCTGGCTGGCTTATCTCCCACGATGGGCCCGCACCACTCACGCATCCCCAGGCCATGGAGATGGTGCACATCATGTATGCAAACGCGAGAAGAAATATTTTCATCATATTTACTTGTTTCGCGGAAACCTGAAATTAAACAAGTATATGTTCACGTTCAAGTTCAAGTTCAATAATTTCATAATTGATTATACATAAAATAAAGGGTACCATAAAAGACAAAGAAATATCTTGCCAAGACATTAGACGTTGATTTGTTACTTGCTCTTCGCGTGTAAGCGGGCATGGAATGTATTTACATTACCAACAAATTATACCTTAGATGCAGATTTTGCAAATGTGAATTTATTTAGTAAATATTAGAGTTTATTGGCTATATAATTTGTTTTCATACAATCAGAAAATAAACAATATTTAGCTATCTGCGACGGCTAATAAACGAAATGAACATGATTATACACTTACACAAAAAACGGAGAAAAAGAAGAATTTGTGTTAATGTCATTTGCTAGATCGTGACCTCTATAGTAAAACTTACTGTGTTGAAATGACCCTCATATTGTTAGTTTGTAATTGTGTGCTTATATTAAGAAATAACAACAGTAAAACATCAGGAATTATATATAATTCTGAGCTATACGATATCTGACGAATAAAATACCTTGACTTTGAGAGCCGAATTCTGAACCCTTTTTAGAGTGTACTGCTAAGTCTGAAGTCCCCTCGACGATCAGCGAAAGTCAACAAGCAAATATAGCTGTCTCTGTATAAATACTGATTCGATCAACTACCGTTTCTTAATGAAATGTTTTGTGCCAAGCCAAGCTTTTATATATACGACTCGACTGTTTTGTCCAGTCCCAACCTGTATGATCGTGATGATTGTTACCCGGATATACGTCGTGTAACCTTGGCTTCAAATTTTCTAGTGTTTGGGTCAAGATAATTAAGGGGAGGGGGCGGGGCGGAAGTGAAGTGGGTTGAAGCTTGTAGAAGGCGATGTCGTCATCATTTCGCCTAAATCGACAGAAGAGAAGCCTCTATTAATAGTAATTTCTTATATATGATCCTTCTCTCTTTCTCCATGGTTATATCTACTTCACTCTCTACCACCCTCTCTTTTCCCCCTCACATTCAGATTATGATTCAGATGAAGTTAGTGCACAACTAGCTCAAATATGATTCTTACATTGGAAGTCCACTATATTAAGTGGGTTTGAATATAGAAGCAGAAAAATAGGAGGAACAGGGCAATTAATCGAGCAAATTCCGATTGAAACATAAGAAAGTTATGAATTGTTGAAGTTGCTCTCAATTTGCATCGCTGTAACGTTTCTTGCGAGCTCCTCTCCAATTTACTCTGTACATAACATTTCATAAACCTTTATTTTCTTCTTTCTTTATGATGACGAAATTCCATACAGGGGTTGTATAGAATTTAGAAACATATTTGTAATAATAACATTTAGGGAGCATGTATGATTGACCATTTTCTTGAGGTAAATGTGTTTATTATAAGTCTTCTTTCTGTTTAACTAAAGGCCCGGTCCCACTGCACTTACGGATGCAAAGAGGATGTAAAACGTAAAAAAATCTTGCCATCCGTTGGAAAACGCTATGCATCCGTTGTGTACTCATTGCATACGTGTTTCATACGCTCTATCCATCGGGCATCCGTCCACTGTGATTTCATCCGCGCAAAAAGTTTTGAGCTGCACAAAACTTTTAGAACGGATGAACTTCCGCCGTGTACGATGTAAATCCGCGACAAATACGAGCAACAAACGTTCTATGTCCGTTATCATCCGTTAAGCGTCCGCTGCATCCTCTCTGTATCCTCTGGGCATCCTCGCAACTCACATCCGCTGCAGTTGAAAACGGAAAGAGGGAGGAAAGATAAGGTACATGGAACGTCTATACATCGTTAGTAGCACGGAAATAGAAAGGATGTAAGCGTATACATCTCGTATATAAAGTATTCAAAGCTGTCATCCACTTCCATCCGCTTTTATCCGCTAGGCTTCCGATGAACATCCGTTTAACATCCCCGCTACATACTACCCACGTCCGTTATTTTCCGTTCTGTTTTCGCAAATTTTCGCAAATTTTGTCCATTTCTGGAGCGGATGAAAACGGATGGAACCACCCTCGAAATTTTGCTCGTCCTTTATGCATACGTTTTGTGTCCGTCGGCCAGTGGGACCGGGCCATAAAGAGTAGAGGGAGGGAACCTCGCAAGATGCGGCACGGGGTTGCCGATTTGTGTTTGATTGATCACAACTTCAAAAATGTATAACTTTTCTAAAATTTCAATCTGAATTTGCTCAATATTCCACTGACTAGCTGTTGCTCTCATTTTCTAGTTTTAACAAAACCAACTTAATTTCAGGGTAGACTTCCCCTTTCACGACATTTAATGTATTTAAGTAGAAAGTACGCGTGTATCACTCAATTTCAGTTTTGAGTTCTGGTAATGCGATTGCATTGTAAAAGAAAAGGTGTGGAATGGATCAGAAAAGTTGATCATATAGCATGTAAGTAATGGTGTGTAATGCAAGGTTCTGGAGTCATCAAAATCATCATAAATTTGGCAGAGTCTTGGTAAAGTAACAATCACTTACACAGAAAGATGTATATGGGACAACACACATGGTGTCGGGGCTAGTACTACCCTGATTTCCTTATCTTTCTATGCTCATTACTCAGCCAGTATACATTTTCCTCCAAAATTGTTTGGCACATGACATTTATTGTAATCTTGAACATTCAGTGTAAGTTTCGTTAGATTCTGTGAGAATTCATTTTCTTTTTTTACCAGAACTCAAGTTTATCTTTAAGCTTCATGTTTGTTTGCTGTTATGTTGTATCTTCGTCAAGTCAAACTAAATTCCATATTACCATGCAAACATTGTTTCCGTAAGCTTACTACATTATACTTACTAAATAGGGAGGGAATGCTACGGGGTTTATCATGGACCTGCTACCATGGTTCTATCCTATACATGCAGACCGAACTGGGTATATGCAAATATTGAGAACTTAAAAATATAATGCATCAATTTGTATTGAACCTTGGCTGGAAGTAACCTAGGCCCATTTTTTTTAACACACACCCGTTATCTAGTTTATACTTTGTTTGACCCCGGAAACCAACTTTACAATTAGAACCTGCTAGAACAATTAGTTTCGAGAGTTTCAATAAGTTGATCCGGAGGTTTCTGCCCAAATATGGAGTTAGTGGGAGGTTACTCGGAAATACAGCTGGCAAAACGCCAGGAGGAGGATTGTGATGTCATCCCTAATCAGGGGTATTCCGTCACGCAGCTGGAAAATAAAAGTGTTTTGTGGGTCGACGAAATAGACTTGAATGTCCTGATTTGGGGGGTATTTTTCAGAAGGTGATATTTCAGTGTTTGTTGGAGGTAGATCTATAATTGTGATTAAATTAGTACTACTTGGAAAAGTGGAATTGAAAATTGAAAACAAAACTTTTTCTTCTTCGTTTGTTGAATTCCTCCAGTCCTGGATAATTTCGGTATTCTTGGGAATCGCATATATGGGGGGGGGGGGGTCAAAATGTAAGTACATGTGGGGATCGATGGCTTTTAAAACTTGCATTTGTTTTCATTGGTTATTTTAATGTTTCTTGTACACCCTGAATGGATATTCTGTCTTATCACATGAACAACACCGTATAGTGGCATAGGGCTGGACCAGCCATTGAAGGGGCAGGGGCACATATCTAGAGTCCATGGCGTACTGAGAGAGACAGTTGTGACACGCGGACACGTAAGTGATCAAAAGTCAAATCATGGAGTTCCAAATAGCTCCCTCTCATAGAGATTGGGGGAACTCATCTCTCTCAGTACGCTATAAGTGAAGCCATATATAATGATAATAATAATAATAATAATACATTACATTTATAATGCGCTTAATACAATATATGTACGTACTTGTCCTACACAAGGAGAATGGAATGCTAATTAACAAGTTATACCGATCTGGGAGAGGGTCCTATTTCATCTTTTCACTTTCCTTTCCATATCCTCCCTGCTCCCCCTTCTTAAATTTCGTCTGTCTCTCTCTCTATATATATATTTGTTTTTGTTTTTTTGTAATAATTTGTTTATTTAAAGATTATTTTTACTTGCAATAACTGGTTTAATACTTTAACTGTTATAGGTTGTTCATCCATCTATTATCATTTATTTATAACTTTAGGTATAACTTTATAACTATATAACTTTATCTTTTATCATTTTTATTGTACATTATTTTGTATGATCATTTCTGTTTTTATGCACATTTTATGTAAACATTGCATTATTGGTCCCTGGACTACTGCATTGTATATTTTATATGTTGATATTAATAAACCGAAATTGAATTGAATTGAATTGAATTCTTTCTTTGTTTTCTTCTATATATAAGGGTGGAAGGTTAGGGTATGTGTGTTATCGGTGCCTCTCATACATATCATTATACATTGCCCTATTAAATACAACACTTTGTATAAAGTGAACGTTTAAAAAGGAACGAAAAAGGAGATCGCAAAGACTTTCGGAAAGTCAACCTGGTGTAATCTCAATAGCCTTGTCCATCACCTATTAAAATGAGCGTACATGAAAATGACAGCTTACGTAATCCGAACTTGATTTCTATGTGATGTACAGTTGGGGAGCTGGGGGGGGGGGGGTGAAAGAACATTGTAACCAACAATTTAAAAAAAAAAAAAAAAACTGAACAAAACAATCAATGAAAAACTTCTGTATAAATACTGATTCAATCAACTAAGCAAAGCTTTTGTATGGTGTTGATATTTTTTTCCCGGATGTTAGTGATGTGACTTGGTTTCGAATTAATTAAGGGGAGGGAGTGGGCGGAAGGAAGTGGATTGGAGTTTGTCGTCATCAATTCGCATAGATCGACAGAACATATGGAAACGTTGTATCGTCCGCTCAATCTGACTTGAGTGCTTAGAACAGATAAACATTTTCGGATGAAAAAGTGAACTTTTCTAAAAAGTGCGTTGCTTTCCAGCATTGAGATGCCCGGGAGTCATTTGAGTAACCTCTCAAAAAGTAAAATATAACAAAATAATATGCACTTTCTCTGTACTTTCGGGAAAAAATTGTTATCCAGCACAATGCAGTCTCTTTTTGCGCTGGAGAAGAGCAAAATAGCGATGTTTTTGTTAACACTTCTATTAAAGCCTATGTTTATTTTTCAGAGGCGAAATGGAGTCATTGCCTGGAAATCAAATTTGAATTGAAAGAAAACGAATAGGCCTAGGTATTACAAAACAAAAATACCATTCGAATAAATATACAGTTTGTTCAAGCAACGAGCTACTAAATAGCACACTAGGGGCAGGGGGCAGGGGGCAGGGGGATTGGGATCTGCTTCAATTATTCAGTCAGGGAGTTTTTAGGAGATATCCCCGATCAAATTAGGGTGCTCTATGGGATTATCCTCTTCTCTGAGCTGTAACAAAACAAAATCCTGTATCAGCCAGATTGACAAAGGTTGAGATATGACGTCATGGCTAATCAAAGGAAAATAAAAGGGGTTTGTAAATTGACGCGGACCAGCAAACAGGAAATATTACTTCCAGGTATACAAACTTTTGTGGTAATTAAAATTAAAGGTGCTATATACAGCTCTTCTTTTTTTAATGAAGAGTGCCTATTGTTTATTTTTGCATTATCTGTCCGTAAGTGCTTGACAAATTATAATTGAAAGATTTTAGCAAAATTTATTATTGAAGTTTGAAGGAGGTATTTTGCTGCCGTTGTCAGGGCTGGCTGGCAAATACCAGGGCGGGAAATACCGGGCGATAAATACAACCTATTATAGCACAATTTGAAGAAAAAGGGGAAATACTGGAAAATTCTCCAAACAAATTTTTAAAACCCTTTGGATCTTTGAAAAAAAATTCCAAGAATTATTATCAAACACAAACAAATAATGTAAAAAGCAATTTAATACTATTTAGATAGGTCATAACGATGCATAAATGATGGAATCCCTTTTATCTGCCAATTATATAGAGGTCCCTCCATTCCTTATAATGTGTATCTTCATCAAAGATGGGCAATTCGATTTTTTGTTCAGCTTTTAAATATTCCTGAAGCATACTGTAATTGTAATGGTGCCGTTATAAAAGCGGCCTGTCCATTCACATATTTGTACCCTTCCAAAATGTATATTTGATTGTATTTTGATTCAGACCATTCTCAATTGGCAACTTTTTCTGTATGATATGTTTTTCACTAATGTACGTGTTTGTATTACCAGGAGATTGACAGCGTATAACCAACAAGAGAAGGTGGTGCAACATAACTTGAATCTGTGTCTAAAATTTTGGATAGAATATCCAAACAAGCAATCTAAGAAACCCATGAACAAGTTATTACAAATAACAACTAAGATTTATGTTTAAAATGTAATTGATGAAATTAAGTAAGATTGCTATGTTTGCTATTACACATTATACCATTTCAATGATACGTGTATGAATATTTCCGGGTATTTCCCGGGAAATTGCCAACCTGGATGTTGTAGGCCAAGTAAAATGATTCATAATTTCTTGTTTCGATTTTTGTTTTCGAAAGGGAGGAGGATATGCCATATGCCTTCAAAGACGATATACTGAGAGAGAGAGAGAGAGAGAGAGAGAGCTAACATATTGCTCCGATTGTCTCATTTTCGCTCGCGTGAACATTGCCAGCACAAACCACTGACCTCTACCTCCTACACGGATCATCGCACATTCCCTTTCACTATACGTTACGTACTAAAAGGCTGTATTGTCTGACCGTTCATGAATATTCATGTTTTTGCTAAACTCGGCAAAATGTTTGCTTTTACTAAATGAAAAAAAAATACGGTGGGGGTTGGATCAGGGAGGTGAGACTTTAAACTCACATGCCCTGGTTGGATGAAATGGACAAAACGAAATAGGCAGAAGTGATCTATGATAATTCATGCTTTTTATGTTTCGTGTGCTCGACCTATAATCTTCAAATCGCTTGGTAAACTGACAGACTTGTTTCACATGTGTATTATAGGCAATGACGAGCTTGCAACCTATTTTGAAAAATTACGGTGGGTGAACTTTCAAAAGTCAATGAGACATGAGGGCTCCAATGAAAGAGCTAGTGATAACGTACGTCGGGGTGGATGTGCTTTTCGTTTAAACAAAAAATGAATTTTTAACGATTTTTTTAAAAAACGTCCATAGGCTAACATGTTAGGCTGCTGAATCTGACCATGCTCTGACGATAGGGGGCGTTGTGAAATGAGACTAAACGGAGCCATATGTGAGAGAAGAAAAAAGAGAAAAGAGAGGGAGAGAGAGAGAGCTAATGAGAGAAGAAAAAAGAGAAAAGAGAGGGAGAGAGAGAGAAAGAGAAAGCTAATGAGAGAAAACAGAGAGAAAAGAGAGAGAGAGAGAGAGAGCTAATGAGAGGAAAAAAAAGAGATAAAATAGAGGGAGAGAGAGAGAGAGGGAGAGAGAGAGGAAGGGGGAGTTGATAGAGGAAGAAAAGACAACGTGAAAGCAGAGAGGGCGACCCCTCCTCAGTGGCCTTTTTCAACATTTCATCCACCTATAGAATATAACCTCTACACACACATTTATAAACACACGCGCACTCACACGCACACACGCACACACTCGTACACACTCACAGACCCAACACACAACCCTCACATACCTCCACCCAGCAATTAATGCCCCCTCGATGTCCGGACCCAATTTATCTACGACACTGGAAGAAAAGAGCGAGTTTTCACCGATATGTATTGTTATAGATATTTAGCTATTCGTTTGCTTGTCTTGACTTTGCATTTGTTATTTTAGCTCTGGATAGATTATTAAGATAATAACTGAATAATACATAAATAAGTCTACTAAATAATGAATCAGTACCAAGATGATTTAAGTATAATCATTAATTGATTCTCCAGTTTATTACTATGTACAAACATTGAATATATTTACAAAGTATTCAAAATAATTAAATAAAAGATAGAAATTTGAAAACAGAGGAATCATACAGAAACCCCTATTTAGGCTCAGCAATGTGGTGCATCTACAAACTCGGCACCCATAGTATAGAATAGGGCGAAAGACACAAATATTTTCTATCTGAAGGGTTTAAGAGATATCACAAAATGTGTTACTGTTGGGGAAGGCAGCTCAATCACTAAAAATACAGATAATCAGGTACACATATCTTTTGAGTTTCATCTTGAAGAAAATAGGAAGTTATTTTTATCATACTGAACGACGATAAGGTAGGGAGACAGGGGACAAATGCAACACGGGGCGGTTCTAGGACAATTAATCCCTGGGCAATCACCCCCGGAAAACTACCCAACAAGTACAATTACCCCCCCCCCCCCCCCCAGGAAAAATGATCCCCGGAGAATTCCCCCCTGTGGACAATTACCCCCGAGGACAATTACCCCCAGGACAATTACCCCCAGAAAATGTAATTTCTGTTCTTTACTCAGTGGCAAAAAATACGGGGGAATAGGGAAACTTCCACCCCAACATCGAATTGAATGATTTGAAAAGACTGAAATGAACTTCATTAATAACTAAAAAAAAATGAAAGTTTATGAATTTTTCTGTAGATAGCAATTTGGAAAGAAGCTCGCATTATACGTCACAGTGTTACAAATTCCTCGGGGGTGATTGTCAATAGGGGTTGTTGTCCTCAGGGGTAGATGTCCTCGGGAGGTTATTGTCCTCGGGGGTAATTGTCCTCTGGGGGTAGTTGTCCTCATGGGTAATTGTCCTCGGGGGTAATTGTCCTCGGGGGTAGTTGTCCCCAGAGGGTAATTCTCCGGGGGTTAATTTTCCGGGGGTAATTGTCCTTGGGGGTACTTGTCCTCGGGGGTAATTCTCCGGGGGTAATTTTCCGGGGAGTAATTGTCCTTGGGTGTAGTTTTCCGGGATTTTTCCGGGGGTGATTGCCCAGGGGGTAATTATCCTGATACGGTTGAGGATATATCATAGAGTAATTACAAGATACATGGGATGAAACCGCAGGTACACTAGTTGCGTCTAACCAGCGTTACAATCAGATACGTGTTAAAAAAAAAGAATATATCAATTTGGAGTGTAACCGTAACATCCTTACAAACGTGGACTAATTCAAATAATATATATGTCCAAAAGTCTCCCGCTATTAGGAATATATTAAGATGGTATTATACTTCTGATCGACCACGTTCAGCTTGTATAATGTGTACGTACTGCATTTGAAAAACGTTGAAAACGTCTCTGTACAACAATCTGCATGAAAGTGTGGGTTTGTCCTCTTCGATTTCTTACACTTTAGTGGCGTTCCAGTTTGAAACAACGGCGCTCATGAAGTCCTTCACGATGATTATAATGCCGATGGTGTTGTTCATGGAATCTGGAACTTATTTTCTTGGTTCGATTCTTGGTTCGAACCGGCCTCGATGGCCACGGTGTCTGTTGATTTTTGGGTCGTGTAGGCGGGGCTCCCGAGGCAAGATCTCTGGTATGTTCACAATGGTTCTTTTCGTTGGTGCAGACGGTAGACCTGGTAGACTAAACGGTTGTAGCTCAGCAAGAGAGATAAGTTTATCGCCTGTGTGATTTGAACAAAACGAGAAAAAAGTGCCAGTGAGTTTTAGAAATTGCACAATTTTTGTCTTGAAGACCCACTCTCTCAAAAAGAAGTTGCTCTCTCGAATGACTTTTCCATTGCAACATGACCATGATTAGAAAATAATGATGCGATGGGGATAACAATTTGTATAGTATTCATTCCATAAACAAATCACCAACACTATAACCACCATGATCACGTCTTACCATTAGCGTCAAGGCGAATGAGCATGTACTTGAATTCTGTCACGGCGCCGCCTCCCAATGTCCACTCTTGTATGCAAACCAGACCATTACCATCGAGATCGATGCTTGCGAAAGCTGATTCCTTGCTGACCAGTCCAGCGAAGTATTTCGCAACCTCGACAGGTATTCTATACAGTTCAAATGGGTAAAAGAGAAAAGGAAAGAAACTGTATCTACATGTCTACAATGTAGTGGTAATAATCGTATACCTTTTTCCTGCTTGATATTGAAGAATGGACGTTTTGAACGATGTTTAGCAGCTAAAGAGCGTCAAACTGCATGCTGAATGAGTTATCAGAAAGACCTTAGTTTCGAGGAAATCGTCAGAGACAAGAGGCACTTTGTATAGTTACTTCTTTTTACAAGAATTTATCTTAATCTTAATAGGTCATTAGTAAAAAAAAAAAAAAAAAAAAAAAAAAAAAAATCTTGACAAGATCATATGACAGGGTAAGTTTTTTTTTTTGGGGGGGGGGGTTTCCACGTACATGGTGGATTCAGTAAAAGGAGGAATACATATAGAAACACGAGACGATATAACAAAAAAGAACAATAAAGACTTTCAATAAAGAATCGGGAAAGTCTACACTTTTTTATATATCTGACAGCCCAGCAAGGACCAGAAAAACACAAGTCATAGTATTTCGTGCGCAGGATAGAGGTCGGTCTCACCCTTTCATAGTGCCAATAATTATAGTCAAGTGGTGCATTTAAAATATGCCAACTTAACGCTTGTTTACAAACAATAATCACTACATGTATCATTTATAATCATGGAAAGTGTCGAATATAGTATAAAGAATCCATGTCGCAGAACTTTGTCTACAGGCAGGCATTTAAATTGTTTACAATGAATACAATATCAAAATTTACAAGTATGTGACATAATAATGATGCTTAATAAGTCATAATATGTCAATGTGGCGAAAGTAAATGATATCTTTTATTTTATTAATGCTATTGGGGGAAAGCTTTTATCAACATGGATAGACTTGATGGCTATTCTTGTTTGAAATTACACAGTACTTCGCATTTTTTATGTTTGAATCCTCTATGTACACACATTTTATCATAATTATTACTAGAAATGGGTATTGTTCTTACCTTGGCAGGCTTGGTCCCTGTGAGGAGGGCAGAAAGGGCAGATGGAGGAGAGGAAGGAGGTGAGAAAAAAAGTAGAACAGGTAGGCCGGTACAAGAGGACATAGAGAGAGAGAGAGAGAGTGAGAGAGAAGACAAAAAAGGAGAGAGACAGCGAGAAAAAAAAGAGATAGAGAGAAAGAGAGAGGGGTAGGAGAGGAGGGAAGAGAGAGAGAGAGCGAACACAGAAAGGAATTCAAGGGAGAGGGGATAAAGGATTAGAAAAAAGAAGAGATTAGGAAGAGAGATATGAAAGAAGGAGAGAGAGTTAGGGGAAGAGGTGAGAGAGAGAGAGAGAGAGAGAGAGAGAGAGAGAGAAAAGGAAAGAATTGGTAATTTGACAATGTAAAGTGACAATAATAACGTAAACGAAACTACTGATTTACATTTCTAATGGAGCTCTGCATGGTTTAACGTACCTGATGCATATTATAGTTTTAAAAGATATGAATTTTTAAAAAAAAGCAAGTAGCATGCATCTCAAAATAGCTTTCAAAATCCTTACTCTAGAAAAAATAGTGCAGCTGTAAAAATTAAAAGGAGGAGCAGGGGGAGGGGAGTCCCCTTCACGTGACAGGTTTCATAGAGTGAATACTAAACAAGATGTGCTGATTGGAGGGGAAAGGGGCATCAAAATCAATATCGACTGATAAAGTGATAAAAATAACCAAACTCTATCTTAGACATGTGGCACTTCTCTGCTGGATCTGGCAACGAGAAAAATTTGTGAGCGCGTGTGTGTGTGCGCTGGATTTGATTTGATCCCTTGTTTATCCTCACAGTACCACCACTAGGATGCAAGCCGAATAAAAACTCACCACTGGGCCTTCTGGGCCTCCTGGTCCGACAAGACCTGGTCCGACAAGAACCGGTCTGGCAATTCTGGCAAGAGCTGATACTACCGATTTTCCTTGTTTACGTCCGGGCCCAGGTCTACCTCCTGGTCTAGGCCTACCCGGCTGGCTTATCTCCCACGATGGGCCCGCACCACTGACGCATCCCCATGCCATGGAGATGGTGCACATCATGCAAGCAAACGTGAGAAGAAATACTTTCATCATGCTTGTTTCACGGAAACCTGAAATGATTATAGTAAAGACATAATGTTCACATTCAAGTTCAAGTTCAATAAATTAATAATTGTTGATACATGTACAAATATTTATTAAGGGTACCATTAAGGACTATATAAGACAGATCTCGTCACATCCGACGACCGACGTCGTTTTGTTAATTGCTCGTCGCGTGTAATCGGTCATGAAAGATATTCACATTGCCACCTTATGCAGATGTTGCAGTGTGTGAATATAGTTAACAGAAGATTTTATTGGCTATATAACTTGTTTACATACATACATACAGTAGATAAACAATACTTAGGTGCCTGTGGCGGCTAATGGACGAAAAGAACATGATTATACACTTGCAAAAACACAGAGAAAAGGAGAAAAAAAGCTTAATGTCGTTTTCTGATCGTGACTTCTATAGTAATATTAATGTATTGAAATGACCATTACAATGTAATTGTGTGCTTATATTAAGAAACAAACTGCAGTTAAAGATTAGGAATTATATAAATTAGTATTATGTTTTGACAGAGGTCGATTCTATACGATATCTGAAAAAATAAAATATATACATTTACCTTGACTGTGAGAGCAAAATTCTAGAACACTTTTTAGAGGGTAGTATTGATAAGTCCGAAGTCACCTCGACAATCAGCGAAAGTCAACAAGCAACCAACTCTCTCTGTATTAATACTGATTCGATCAACTACCGTTTCTTAATGAAAGGTTTTGTGCTAAGCCAGCTTTTGTATATATATATATATATATAATTATATACGACTGTATATAGTCCAAACCTGTACGATCGGGATGATTGTATCCCGGATATACGTGGTGTTACCAGATAGGGTTGGGATAGGATTGGGATTGGATGGAGATACGTCTATCTCGAAAGATTCTACCAGAGCTGCCCTTATCAGACAACAGATCCCCTGTGGCAATCCAAATGTTACGAAATGTTACGCAACACCGTCCGCTTCATCGGTCTGAAAAATATGGAGGCTTCGAGCTTGTATAGAAGTGATGCGAGGCAACGCGAAAATGACGTCATGTTTAGTGAAGTCGTATATAGCTACAACATACAAATCTCTTTTGCCCCCCCCCCCCCCACATTCAGATGATTTTTGTGCACAATTAACTATCTCCAATATGATTCTTGAAGGGGAAGTTCACCCTAATATTCAGTTTGTCTAAATAGAAGCAGAAAAGGACAGGAACAGGAAACTTAAAGTCTGACCAAATTCTGATTGAAAATTAAGAAAGTTATGAATTGTTTAAGTTGCTATCAATAAAATTAAACACAGAATTGCAACGCTGTCACGTATCTTGCGAGCTCCTCTCCCATTTAGCTAGAAAGCGGAGCTGGATGAGTCATCATTATTGGCCAAAATGCAGCGAAGGGGGGACGTCTCTGGACAATTTTGTAATAAGGGCTCTCTCTCTCTCTCTCTCTCTCTCTCTCTCTCTCTCTCTTATCTCCCTATATGCTTTATGAATTCCCTATGTTATTAACATCTCACCCCATCACATCCCCATAGCACACACAATGTTTATGTGCAGCTGGCACATAAACATCATAAAACGGTAAAAGAAATATGTTTCTGTGGCTTAAACGTCCCCTTCGAGGCGAGGCATTATAATTAAACTTTGACTTTTTGTATGTCACTTTATGTCAATTTTAGGAAAGTTTAATACTACATGTAGTTTGGTGTTGCTGTGGATTCTTCTTCTATGCTTAAGCTTCAATGTTACAACTGCTATGCCTGTATTTCGTTTTCAGTGGCAAAATGAAGTCATTGCCTGCATGGAAATTAAATTGAAATCGAAAGAAGACGAATAGGTATCACAGGACGAAAAATAACATTGGAATAAATATACATTTTCCTCAAGCAATGAGCTGCGAAATAGCAAACAGGGGGGGGGGGGTTAGAATGTAGTCAGGGAGTTTTCGGGAGATTTCCCCGATCAAATAGGGTGCTCTGAGGGCTAATCCTCTTCTCTGAACCACAAAAAAAAAAAAAAATCCAGTATCGGCTAGATTGACATAAGGTGGGTTTTGATTAAATCAAGGGAAAATAAAAGGGGTTTGTAAATCGACGTGGACCAGGAGACAGGAAATAATACTTCAAGGTACAAACTTTCGGTGGTAAAATTAAAGGTGCCATTCAGCGCATTTTCCCCCTTTTTTAATGAAGAGTGCAAATTGTTTATTTTTGCATTATCCGTCCTTACGTGCTTGGAAAATTGTACTTGGGGACCAATTCCATAATAAGAGACGAATTCCATTAAAAAGGATATTACCAAGATCCTTGACGTTATAATCGGCGTCGTAATCATACCATCGTCGTTGTTTTAGTGAAATGTATAGTTTTTTCTCGAATTGATTACCATTAAAACAAAGACGTCCTCATCTTATGGCCCCAAAACACAATATACTGAGGGTGAGTGAGAGAGAGAGAGAGAGAGAGGAAAGAGAGAGAGAGAGAGGGAGAGAGAGAAAGAGAAAAAGGAGAGAGAGAGAGAGAGAGAGAGAGAGAGAGAGAGAGAGAGAGAGAGAGAGAGAGAGAGAGAGAGAGAGAGAGAGAGAGAGAGGAAAGTGGGAGGGGGAGTTGACAGAGGGAAAAGGGCAACGTGAAAGAAAAGAAGGTGACCCCTCTTATACCCCCCCCCCCTTTATGGTCCCTTTCCTCAGTTCATCCACCTATTGAGAACGCATCCACACACACACAAACACACCCACTCACACAGCTATGTCCCCTCGATGTATGGACCCACTTTATCTTCGACATTAGGAAAAAAGAGTAAGTTTTCTCCGATATGTATTGTTATAGATATTTAGCAATTGGTTTGCTTCTCTTGTCTTTGCCTTTGTTATTTTAGCTCTGTATATATTATTAAGAAAATAACTAATTATTATATAAGTGAGCCTACTAAATAAAAAATCAGTAACAAGATGATTTAATTTGGATCATTACTTGATTCTCCAGTTTATTACTTTGTACAAACATTGAATATATACAAAATATTTCAAAATAATTCAATTACAAAGGTAAAAATGAAAAACATAGGAATATTACAGAGACAATGTATTATGAAAACCCCTATTTCAGCTTGGCAAGTTGATGCATTTACAAAATCGGCACTCATAGCATAAAATATCGTAACAAACACAAATATTATCTATATATCTGAAGGCGGCCGGAGATATCACAAAATGTGTTACTGTTGGGGACTCAATCTCTAAAAAAAACCCTGATAATCAGGTAACACATTTCAAACACTATGGCGGATTGATTGGTTTTGAAGATAAAACATCAAGTAAAGAAAAAGAAAACCATTTGATGTCTTCTAAATTTACCAACTCAAAAGTATTCTATGTCATGCAATTCAATTTGTATCAATAGCTGTGAATAATTTTAATTTTGTGGTTCGATACATTGCCTTATATAGTTTTGTCTGTTATCTGACACACGTTTACATAACACATTTGCGATTCACCAGCCGTGCATTCTAACGAATATCAGAAGCTGATTCTTGGTTTGATCATGGACCTATATCACCAACCTGCCTCGAAAGTCACGCAGTCCGTTGGTTATTGGTAGACTAAACGGTTGTAGCTCAGGAAGACTGATAAGATTATCGCCTTTATGATTTGAACAAAAAGAGAAAGAAGTGACAGTCAGTTATGGAAATTGCACATTTTTTTTTGCAATCTCAAAATGAAGTTACTTGCTAGAATGTCATTTCCATTGCAACATGACAATGATTACAAACTTAGGCTATCCTTCCGTAAATTATGCGATAGTGATAACAATTGTTATAATATTCATTACACTTAAAATTTCTTTAACACCTTCTAGATACTTTGAATAATGTTCAGCGAATCCTACACTTATCATGCTAAATCGATTATTAAATTACACAAAAAATAATCAGTTTCTCTACCACCTGATATCATCGTCATCTCCATCAATATCATCATCATCATCATCAACAACACCATCATCATTCGCATTGTCGTCATCATCATCATCGTGAACAGCAACAACAATAATAATAATAACAATAACCATTTTAACAGAATCATGGGAATTATAGTATATTGACTTCATCATAATCATTTATCATCATCAAAATCGTCTTCCGCATTGCCGTCATCGCAGTCATAATCATTTATCATCAACAATAGCAACGATATAAGAATTATCTGCACCTTGGCGTCGCCGTCATCATTACCACCATCCTCATCATCTTCATCATCATCATCACCATCACCAGCATCACCACCACAATGATCACGTCTTACCATTAGCGTCAAGGCGAACGAGCATGTAATTAAATTCTGTCCTGGCGCCGCCTATCAAAAACCACTCTTGTATGGAAACCAGACCATTACCATCGTGATCGATGCTTGCGAAAGCTGATTCCTTGCTAATCAGTCCAGCGAAGTATCTCGCAAGTATTCTTTACAGTTCAAATGGGAAGAGAGTAAAGGGAAGAAATTGTATCCACACGTTTAATACAATCTAGCGGTACCAATATAATAATAATTTTTCACTGCATAGTATTGAAGAATGTAACTAAGTTTTAAACGATGTTTTGCAGCTAAAAGCCTTAAACTGTCTGATGCCTGATATATAAGAAAGACCTAGGGAATCTCATTCGAGACTAGAGGCATTATATGGTAACCATAATGTTTACAAGAATGTATATTCATGTGATTCAGGGTAATTAGAAACAATCTCGGCAAGATCATATAGGGTAAGGTTTTGGTTTTCCCTTCCACCGACAAGGCGGATTCAGCAAAAGTAGTTAATATTGAAACATGAGACGGCATGAAAAAAACAAGAAAGACATTTAATACAGTATTGGGAAGACTACACTAGGGAAACATCAACCATGATAACTTTCGTGTGATCTCAGCTTATTCATAGTGCCCCGTTGCTACAGTCGAGTGGTGCATTTACAATATTTTCAACTTTACGCATTATGTCCCACTTGCAGGCCAAAAAAATGAAAAGGTAAAATTCCAACGGCATTTGAAAGATGTTACTAATTTAGAACTTCTCTCAAAACGAAAGGGCGTGAAAATGTCTTTTAGTGGGAAAATAACGAGCAAGTTGTCGAATCGAATGGTCGTATGTTTTGTGATGCGTAAAGATTCAATCAGTTTGATTTTGGCCATCACAAGGAGAGGGTTATTGATGTAGACAAATGCTCATGTACCTTTACAGCTCATTTTATGTATGTTATTACCAAAGAACAACAAAAGAAGTCAGTCACTCACTCAATAGTGTCTGACAGTGAAGTCTAGAAAGTAAACGGGTTTCCTTGCATAATTTGAATAATAGGACACTGCTAACGTTTACATTTCACAGATAGGACATAGCCTACGTGACATATTCAAAATTCCTGCAAAGCTCTACAGAATTTGATGTTGGCTGCAAATGGGACATAGCACCTTTAACAAACAATAATCATCTACATTTATGATATGTAATCATAGAAAGTGTCGCAAATCATATCAAGAATTCATGTCGCGGAACTTTGTCTACAGGCAGGCATTTAATTTTTACAATGAATATAATATAAGATATAACAAATTTGTGCCATAATAATGATGCTTAATAAGTTAACAATATTAGTCAATGTGGCAAAAATGAATAATCTCTTTCATTATATTAATGCTATCGGGGTAAGCTTTTATCATCATGTAGATTCGATGGCTTTTCTTGTATGAAATAACACGGTACATTGCATTTTTTATGTTTGAATGCTCTATGTACACATTCAAATATTATCATAATTATTACTAGAAATAGGTATGATTGTTCTTACCTT